AAGCTATTTCTCCCATCAGGCACTGCTGCACGAGAGGGATCCTCCCACTGGAATATACCGTTAAGTGGATTATCCCTCCGTGCAGCAGAACCGACAATTCACATGAAAATGCATAACTTTTCGAATATGTAGTCTATTTGCACGAATGGACGTTCGGTAGATAGCTGGGGTCTGAGCGCATCATTCGTGAGATTACCGCTCAGATCCCAGCTAAAACAACCGAACGCCGCATGAAAAACACATTCATTGGAAAACATATTAAAAAGACCGATTGCCTTCCAGGGAATGAAATACCGAACGGCCCGGAACTCCCGAACGTCCTGGAGGCTCAGCGGTGTTCGCGCCGTCAAGTAGCCATTTTTAGTACCAGGCACTCGACGACCCAACACCGCTGAGGGAACAAAGGATCCAAGGTGGCCGACCGCCGCATGGTCGGTAGTCGAACGGCGGCCACCTAGGAGAGCCTCTAATTACCGATTGCAACATTGTTGCAATTGGTTAACAAGCGCCACACGCCTCTAAGTGTGTGGGCTATTATGTGTAGTGTTTTCGGTTCACGAACGGCCCGCCAAAGTGCCGTTCGTGAAACGAAAGGAAAACCTCATACAAATAGCTATCTGCATTCGGCGGATAGCAAATACAGGGAATACACAGTTATTAGAGCCCGCATTGTACATAGATGAACACATATCCCCACCGACATATAGGCAACCCTTAAAGGTATAGTCTCTTGATATAGTCCAAGTGGCTAGGTTTGCCACACACTCCTAGACACAGCATGCACACATTGCTATATATATATATATACAATGACACATTCAGACACAGCGTAAACACACATTGTTATAAACACACACTGACACACTCCTAGACACAGCGTAAACACACATTGTTATAAACACACATTGACACACTCATAGACACAGCATGAACACATTGCTATATACACACACTGACACTCTCATACACAGCGTAAACACACATTGTTATAAACACACACTGACACACTCATAGACACAGCATGAACACATTGCTATATACACACACTGACACTCTCAGACACAGCGTAAACACACATTGTTATAAACACACACTGACACACTCATAGACACAGCATGCACACATTGCTATATACACACTGACACACTCAGACATAGCATGCACACACTGCTATATACACACACGGACGCACTCAGGCACAGCATGAACACATTGGTATATACACACAATGACGCACTCAGACACAGCATGCACACATTGCTATATACACACTGACACATTCAGACATAGCATGCACACACATAGTTATATACACACACTGACACACTCAGGCACAGCATGCACACATTGCTATATACACACACTGACATACTCAGACACAGTATGCACACACATTGCTATACACACACACTGACACCTGCAGACACAGCATGCACACTCAGCTATAAACACGCACTGACGCACTCAGACACAGCATGCACACGCATTGCTATACACACACTGATGCACTCAGACATAGCATGCACACACTGCTATATACACACACTGATGCACTGAGACACAGCATGCACACACATTGCTATACACACACTCTGACACACTCAAACACAGCATGCACACACATTGCTATACACACATTCTGACACACTCAAACACAGCATGCACACACATTGCTATACACACACACTGACGAACTCAGACACAGCATGCACACACATTGTTATACACACACACTGACAAACTCAGACACAGCATGCACACACATTGCTATACACACACACTGACACACTCAGACACAGCATGCACATACTTCTATACACACACACTGACACAGTCAGACACAGTCAGACAAAACATGCACACACAAGAAGTTCAGCAGCAGTTGGACCCGATTAGTTATCCAGGAAAGGCTGTAATTCTGAAATGGTGCTGTTTTCGGAGGTTTCCTTTTAACCACAATAGAGCAGTTTAAACATGCCTACAGCGTGTGTTGATTACATGTAAGTCTTTTGAGGAGGTGTGATTTATTTTTGCGTTGTTGAACACTGCGTTTCCTCTGTATTGCAAGATGGAGTTCAATATTGAATACTGTCTTAATGTCCCTGATCTCCGATTATAAATTGCTGCTATTATTTAGTTAATTTTAAAAAAGCGAGTTAAAAATTTGTGAAGGAATTCCATAATGGTCACTTCCACAATGCAATACTGTCATATACACAAATGGAAATTACAGCTCACTTTACTCTATATTTGCTGAAAATAGCATTACGATATCAGGAATAGATTTAAACTGAATTACATCCAGAAAATGTTATGCTGAGTTATTTTCTTTTTGTCACCAGCCCTGCTTGCTTGTGGCCTTCTGGGTAAAAACATGTATGTGTAAACTTTTTATTCAAAATAGGACTTAGTTTACACCTCAACTTGCAACTCCAAGAAGTATTGACTTTAGCAAAGTAACCCGCAAGAAATGCCCTTAGAGATACAAAATCTCTGAAAAATAATCCTGGCACCTAATTACCCCAGTGTAGTTTGCTGGTTTTATCTGTAATTGGACTGCATATCCTTTCATTCTAATTTACTTTACATCTAAAGTGTGATAATCAAGACAAGCAGAACAGAATGGCCTGTTACTGGCTATACCACTGACACCAGTTAATGCCTAATTATAACAGCTAAATTAAAGATGTGACTGAGAAAGGGTTGAGCATCGGTTTGAAGCATTTAATTCTATAGAAAGAAGTGGAGCTTTTAAATTGTAAGTGAAGAAATCAATATTATGGCTCATTATATTGGTATTGTTAAAGAGATTAATGAAATTAAGTATTTTACTTATTAAAAAAAAAAAGTTCTATCTTGATGTAACGGTGGCTCGGACTAAAGGAGCACTGCGGATGTTATTGTACTGAAATTTAACTCATGGCGCACAGGGCGGGCACATGGCTACTTAAGGCCCTCTACACCAGCTGTAATTACAACCACAAATGGGTTATCTGCAAGCAAACGCTCAAATCTGTATCACTACTATACACAGAGTTATTATTAGCGTGTAACCTCATACAATGCAGTATAATTATTGATATTACACGTGTTTTAAAAATAGAATGTGTTCCTGATGGCTATATTACAATGTGTAGTTAAGCAGCGTTATAGGAAATGTTGAATGTAAATATGAATATGTGCTACCTTCTGACAATTCCAGACTTTCTATCACCTTTACTGAGCTACAGGTTATCCTTCCTGCCATTATACAATCACTAGACACTATGGTAATAAAGTGATGGATAATAAAGTCACTGCAACTAAGAAGTGCTGTTCAGACAAAGTTAACCGAGATTAAATTGTTATATTTGTTTGGTTTTTGGTGGGTGTAAAAAAAAATAGTGCAATTAATATTTGTTTGTTTTTTACCTTATTGAAACATAAAGATCAAGTGGGTAATGATGGGTTAATAACCAGATTTGTTGTTTATAATTTGGTGAGCTAGGATTTTAACATTAACTGCTGTTATCTGTACTGTAACTCACAACTGTATTGCACATTGCATGGGAAACTTCTAATTTGGAACCTGCCTCACACACTTAAGTACGGTGAACGACCCAGGTTGTCTGGACTTTTGTATTTTGTCTATCCTTTGCTGTTTATGTAATTTGTACTCTGGATTTTCAGCTTTATATCAGACTGGCTGCATTTGGTAAGTCGGAGATTAGGAGAGTCAGGGGTTGGGTTGCCCTAGCGGTTAGGTGTGTATACATGCTAAGTAATGCTGAAGTACCTGCTTATGGGCTTAAAAGAACACTATACAAACATGTATTCTGAATCCTATAGTGTTAAAAACACTATCTAGCCCACTTGCCCCCCCTAAATATAGTACAATTTTACCTTTATTCCAGTCTGCTGGTGCTGGCTCTGCCCCTAATCTACCTCATTGGCTGACATAGGAATGCATTGTATTGGCTGAGATGGTCAATTCCGATTATCTCAGCCAGGGGCGGAGCCAAACGCCGCCCGGGCCAATCATCATCTCCTCATAGAGATGCATTGAATCAATGCATCTCTATATGGAAAGTTCAGTGTCTCCGTGCCTTTTCTCTGAAAATACAGTGTTTACTGCAAAGCCTGCAGAAACTGACCATACTCACCAGAACAACTACATTAAGCTGCATTTTATTTGAGTAGTTCACTATTTCAAGTGCAGCATAATAACATTTAAACTTGTGCTGCTCTTTGCCTCAGTCTCCCCGATATTGGTTGACATAGCTGCTCTTTCGGGTAATCGGGATGACTGGGTGCGACTTGTGTGTCACACAATTAAATTGTGTGACTTGACGAGTCTGCTATTTATAGGCAAAGGCTGACCTCTGCCTCTGTGCTGATTACTGCAGTGTTCGGGTTTTGGATCATTGTAGTTACCAGCTGTTAAAATATTTCCGAACTGATGTTGCACAAGTGATTTTGAGTTTGACCTTCTCTTGTAATGGGGGAAAAGAACTGCTGAGCATGTATAATTTATAGCTGCTATTGATCTGCTCTCTTGTTTTATTCCAGACATATGTACGTCGTATCCAAATCCATACCATCATGATCATTTTCCCCGTTCTGAAGGGCTGCATTTAATGACTACACATTACAGGATTGCGTGTGTATTTTTGAAAATTTAATGATCATTGGTAACTTAATTGTAATGTTCACACATCATTCACTTTTAAAAAAAATGTTTTTATAAAATGTATTTGCAGACTAGATAGAAGTTTTCAAGCTAATAATTTCAGTCTTATTAGTGCTTTCTGAATTGGACTTTAACAGGTTTAATAAAATGGTCGGTACAGAGTTTAAATACAGATCCGATTGCCCTGTATATCATATAGAACACTGAGCTTAATTTCATGGGCCCAGTTTGTTCTTCAGCAACAAGGGTTTTGTTTTCTTTGTGGCCCTCAGTAAACAGATCAATTAGGGGTCTTTCTCATCAAATTGAGGGGGACTTTATTCCAGGCAGAATAAATAACAAGAAGTTCATGTCTTAGGTGGTCGAACACCCGCATTGTAAAAGAACATTGTTTACAAGAGCTCTTTGTGGTTTATGGACATTCTTTTTTTCTTTTTCTCTCTTATCAAATGAAACACATTTGTCTTCTGTTCTGATTCATCCATCCACGTCTTTTTCTCTCCTTTGAACGTGCAGTGTGAGCGAATGGATGGGTAGCCATAATATGCTGTACCTCTTCCCTCTTTGATTTTAAACATTTCAAAGAATACAATTACAGCAATACATTATACTGATTGAGCATTATCCAAGTCCACATCACACTTGTATTGGCCCCTACTTTCATATACAGATAGGGGTCTCCAAAGATGAAGGTGAACCCCAGACAGCCACTTAACATGTATTTATTGTACATGCGTTTTGGTCGTTACATTGCACTACTGCTATATAAAGTGGGACCCAGATACTTTACTAGGTGTTCCATAAAATGGTTACAAAAACAATGTGGTTACAGAAACAATGGTGGACACAATAACACCAACATCCTCTAGTATATGGGTGGGAAAAAGGTTCCATGATTCATGTTTGCTCTCACCAGTTAATTTACATTCCGTCCCAAGAACCAAGCTATCTGCTCAAATAGTTTTAGAAATCTAAATATATGATGACATATTTCGCAAAGGCTCGCTAGACTGTGCGGGCCACAAAGGCTGCCTGGGAATCTGATGGCCGCAGGGCTTGCTAGAATATTTCTGATACACGACTTGCTGGGATCTGACTTTGGTGAAATTATTAACAGACTCCCAAATGTGTATCACAACATTCTTTCTTCATGCAGGTGAAGGCAGGAAAAATATCGATAATCGTCTTGATGACTATATTTGCGATAATGTGGTCACTGAAAATTCTAAAGTATGTTAAAAGAAGTATATAACTGTGGCGGCACCCTCCCATGTATGTCTATATTTCAACTTTTTATAAAGCCTAATTGAACGTACAATCGGAGGGTTTTTAATTTGTAGCCACACTCTTGTTTGCCTGCCAAATCCAACGCATTGTCAAACCTTTGGAATGGACAAAAATATTACCTGAGTGAAACCAAATTATTTCTTACATCAGACATTTTACATCGTCGACAAGGAACACAGACCCATCCCTGTCTGGTAGTAAAAACAAACAAACCTGTATTTAAATGATTAGGAGAACATTAAAAAGTTTGCTGTGATAATAGGTCAGACATGTAAAGTTATCTTCACATAGTTTTCTGTTGGCAATAGCAATTGTTTTTACCATTATTTTCCTCTTTAACTCCTCTTCCTTTGCTGGAGGCTACTGAATGAATCTAGCAACCTTTCTGCAAAGTAGTTCATCAATTTCCCGTGAGCATCCTAACCTCTAGCCTCAGAGCTTGACCTCTTGTTGTAATACTTCCTATTGTAAGACCTTGGCTGGTAGAACACATCACAGATATGAGCAAGGGACCACATGTACATAATTACTTTATAACTTGTCTGTTATAATTATTCCTTCATGCTAATTTACAAAGATTCTACAAATTATAATGTGAACAGCAAAAAATACAATAAGGAAAAAAAAACACATAAATAGTATAAAACATGTTACAATGCTCACAGTTTCTTTAATGGGTCATCCATGTGAGAACTGTTTAATCACTTTCAAATAAAAAAGAAAAAAAGAAAAAAATAGCACTCACCCGACCAGATGAAGAGGTGCAATTACACCATGTCGGGAAAGTTGGCCAGCAATCTAAGTAGTGAAAAATGATCCAGCACTAGTGATGTCCCGAACGGTTCGCCGAACAGTTCGCGAACGGTTCGCCGCGGACTCATCATTGAGTAAACTTTGACCCTGTACCTCACAGTCAGCAGACACATTCCAGCCAATCAGCAGCAGACCCTCCCTCCCAGACCCTCCCACCTCCTGGACAGCATCCATTTTGAAGCCGCATTCTTAGTGAGCTGTTCAGGAGGTGGGAGGGTCTGGGAGGAGGAAAATACTGACAACTGGAAACTGTAATTCAGGTAAATTCCTAAAGAACCACTCTAGGCACCCAGACCACTTCAGCTTAATGAAGTGGTCTGGAGTCTCAAATCCTCTAGGGTTAACCCATTTTTCCAGCAGTTTCAGAAACTGCTATATATGAATGGTTAAGCCTTCCCCTAATCCTCTAGTGGCTGTCACTGACAGCCACTAGAAGACTGCGTGCTTCTCACATGAAAATCACGGTGAGAAGCATCAGCGTCCATAGGAAAGCATTGTAAATGCTTTCCTATGAGACTGGCTGAATGCGCGCGCAGCTCTTGCCGCGCGTGCGCATTCAGCCGGCGGGGCGTAACGGAGGAGGAGAGGAGGAGGAGAGCTCTCCGCCCAGCGCTGGAAAAAGGTAAGATTTTACCCCTTTCCCCCTTCCAGAGCCGGGCGGGAGGGGGTCCCTGAAGGTTGGGGCACTATAGTGCCAGGAAAACGAGTTCGTGGCGAACCGTTCGCGAACCGTTCGGGACATCACTATCCAGCACACTTCTATTGTGTCCTCAATGACTTCTCATTAGAATCTCCACTTACACCAAGACCGTTTCAGCTCTACAGAAGTCCTATGTCATGTTTTAATTGTTTAAAACAAAAAATAAATATATTTTCACTGGATTTTGTGTTTTATGCTGTGTTACGGATGGTGTATAGTTTGTCCTTTTTTTTTTTACTCTATATATTTTATATATTAAGGAGTGGGTGTAAAGTACAGAAACCCAACCAATGGTGGCACTATCCTCATTTTCTGAATACCTGGAAGACCCTATCTGGTCTTATTAATAGGTCACACCATGCATTGGACAACCCATATTTTTCATGACCATCAACAATCTCACTTAACCTAAAATAATTTTATTTCCTACACATACACTACTGCAAGAATTGTTGCACAACTGTGGGGCATCATATATATATATATTTTTTTTTTTATTCTTTATTTTTGGTATGCAGGTAGTTACAACTGTGCCTGTGTCGCCACAACAGCAATAACATGCTCGATTTTTTATAGACATATGATAACAGTATTGTGGCAAGTTGGAGATGCATACATTTTTTAAAAGTGAAAAAGGTAACGATACAGCAGATGAACTATTAACGATATGGTTTAAGCTAAATCAGTGCGACTAGCCTGAGGCATCGTGTGAGATCGGCAAGCTTATATACCTAAAGAAAGCATTAAAGTAACCATGGTCCAAGAATCTAAGCGATTGTAACATTGCAGTGTCAGCTGTACAAATACCTTGATATTATAGTCATATTTGGTCAGGCTTGAGTTTCTTAAGTTTAAATACACTACGCTTTTGGGGCTCGGGTCTCCCTATATATATATTTGCTATCAAAATGCCATAACTCCAAGTCAGCAGGTGTGTTTATTAGCGCCAGTTGCGCTGATTATATGAATTGTGCTAGTCGTTGGAATGTATGCCTCTGTAGTGTTTTACATATTCCTAAACAATGAAATAAACAGATAAACAAGCTGGAACGTGAATGCATCTGGACAATTTGCATGTAACATGTTATTTGCTGGTATGGACAGTTCTGCTGTGTAGGTTAAACTACATGCTATGTGTAATATGAGGGTGATTACTGCTGGCCATTTAGGTAAACTATATAGAGTATTAGATCAGTTCAACGATTTTAACGGTAACTAGCATTTATGATTTTGAGTATACTATTAGCATTGGCAATAGGAGAGCGTCCCAAGTCCTGTTGTGTATCCAGGCTGGCAGCTGGTCAACGGGAAGCTGTGGTTCCTCACCCGACGTCGCTGGTGTGCTTCAGGTGGCAGTCCAGCTCGTAGGCTTGTGACAGGCACCTACCCTTCTGTTGCTCGCCATGTAGTTTGCTCCAGGTTGGGATGAGGGTTGAGGCCTCGCCGTTCCGGCGGTCGATGTGGCTGCTCGCAGTAGACCGCTCTGAGCATGCCATGACCTGCAGGCTGCAGTGCTCGAAGGTTGCTGGCGCTGCTGAGTGGTAAGCGGGTCGAGTTTGTCTGGCGGTCCCGCTCAGTTGTGTGCGAGGGTGAGTGATGGTGCTTGAGGAGTTTGTCTTCGTTCCCCGCTCTCCGGGTCCCCGGCGCCGTCTTTGTCTGGAGGCTGCTCTAGGGGCGCAGTGTGAGTGTCTGCACAGGCGACGTCGGGTGGCAGGGCGGATCCATGCCGCCATCTCCTTCACCATTAGTTGGAATAGCTGACCCCTGGTGCGTTATTGTGTCCATAGGTTGGTGCAGAACCGGTGAAAAAATTCCTGGACATGTTTAGGTGGCTTTGTAAGGGTGCTTTGTGTACCAGGTCTCGTTCGGGCCGCCATCTTGCTTGGGCCCTGACAGACTTGGTTGACCGCTGGTTTAGTCGCTGTTTTAAGCAGAGTGGCGGGGGTATTCGTCCCCAGCGAGGACCGGGATATCCCCAACCGGTCCAGAGGGGGGGGGTAGCAGGGCAGTGTCTGTTACTTGTTTGCAGTCGGGGCCCGTGCCGGGGGAGCGGCCTCCTCCCCCATGCTTCAGGCTCCGCATCTGTTTAGGCCGCATGGCTGGTTCGGACGCTGGGGTTGTCTGTCGGTGCTTGTCCGGCATCAATAAGTTCCCCGTGTTGTTCTGCCTCGTTCTCTGGGCTCCTTGTGTAGATGGCTGTATTTGATTGTACAGAATCTTTGTTTCTATGCCCGCTGGTGTAGGAGCTCCCAGAGAGCACGTCCGGCCATCTTGGCTGTCAGGCCCCGCCCCCCCATATATTTAGATTTTTAATACTATTTGAGGAGATAGTTTGGTTCTTGGATTGAAATGTAAATTTACGGGTGAGCGCAACATGAACCATGGAACTGAATAAAGTATTCTGAATGATAATGTGCTAGTAATGCTGTTGATTATGTAGGTAGGAACATCGGCTAGATGTGAAACATTCCTGCTATAAGGAGATTCAGATAGTAGTACCAACAAATACGGTATGGATCATTCACGAGTGTATGTAAAAAGAGATAAACAAACACATAATAGTGCAACCTATATTACTTGTGTATAGAACTTTCTTCCAAGTCTATTGTATATATACTTGTAAGCTCATTTGAGCAGGGTCCTCTTCAACCTATTGCTCCTGTAAGTTTTTGTAATTGTCTCATTATTGTTAAATCTGCCCCTCCTATAATATTGTAGAGGGCTACGGAATATGCTGGCGCTATATGAA